GCGTGACTCAGGACCTCTGTAGGGGGTGCACAGACCTGCCTGTCTGCAGCGGGCTGACTGGGCGTGTGTTCCGTGCGCCCGGGGACCTCGGCAGGGTGTGGGCAGACCTGCCTGTCCGCAGCGGGGTGATTCGGCGTCTTCCGTGGGACTCAGGACCTCGGCAGGGCGCGTACAGACCTGCCCGTCTGCAGCGGGCCGATTCGGCGTGTTCCGCGGGACTGGGGACCTCGGTAGGGTGTGGGCAGACCTGCCTGTCTGCAGCGGGGCGACTCGCGTCTTCCGGGTGACTCAGGACCTCGGTAGGGCGTGCACAGACCTGCCTCAGGATTTACTCTTAAAAATTCTGATTCTGTGTGCCAGAGTTCCTTGAAATTCAGTATTTGTTACAAGCTTACCAAATGATTTTAATTCACATCTCAGTTTCACAAAGTTAATCTGTTTTACTCGTATGAACATCACCATCTTATATATACTTTCTTCATTATTGGTGCTCTCCTTGTTCTTATTACAATTCCTTAAAGCATTTAGAGGTAGTTAGGTAATTTATGTAATGGATTTTGTTTGTGTATGTGTTACAGGAAAATGAAATATGTTTGCTTTTTTTCCCTTTCAGATTTGGATTCAGATTATGGAGCTGAGAAAATATCTCCAGAAAATTATATTTATGAAATAAATTTATCCAAACAGGATATAAAGCAAATTAACACTCTTGGCCTTAAGTCTTGCAGTTTTAGAAGTGACTCAAAACACAATTTTGAGAGACTAAATGGATATCAAGAAGGATATATCAATCAAAAGATACTCAGCTATGAGAAAAAAAAGCCTACTTATACCAAGTATATTCTTACTCACAGTACAGGTAAACTGTGTAAGAAATGTGGGAAATCCTTTAGTCATCACTCAAACCTTATTCAACATCAGAGTATTCATACTGGAGAGAGACCCTATGAATGTAAGGAATGTGGGAAGGCCTTTAGACTTTGCATACAACTTACTCAACATCAGAAATTTCACACTGGTGAGAAATCTTTTGAATGCAAGGAATGTGGGAAGACCTTCAGTTGTGGCTCAAATCTTGCTCAACATCAGAATATTCACACTGGTATGAAACTATATGAATGTAAGAAATGTGGGAAAGGCTTTAATCATACTTCAAACCTCAGTCAGCATCAGAAAACTCATACTGCCGAGAAACCCTTCGTATGTAAGGAATGTGGGAAGGCATTTAGATTTCCTTACCGACTTATTGAACATCACAGAAGTCATACTGGTGAGAAACCCTTTGAATGTAAGGAATGTGGGAAGGCTTTTAGACTTCATCTACAACTTTTTCGACACCAGAAAACTCATACTGGTGAGAAATCCTTTGTATGTAAGGAATGTGGGAAGGAATTTAAATATCGTTACCTACTTATTGAACATCACAGAATTCATACTGGTGAAAAACCCTATAAATGTCGGGAGTGTGGGAAAAGCTTTAATCGTGGTTCAAACCTCAGCCAGCATCAGAAAATTCATTCCAGTGAGAAGCCCTTTATATGTAAGCAGTGTGGGGAGGGCTTTAAATATCATCACCAATATGTTGAACATCACAGAGTTCATACTGGTGAGAAGACTTATAAATGTGAGGAATGTGGGAAGGTCTTTATTCTTCTGACACAGCTTGTTCAACATCAAAGCATTCATACTGGTAAGAAGCCATTTGAATGTAAGGAATGTGGGAAGACATTCAGTTGTGGCTCAAATCTTTCTCAGCATCAGAATATTCATGCTGGTATGAAACCATATGAATGCAAGGAATGTGGGAAAAGCTTTAATCGTAGTTCAAACCTCAATCAGCATCAGAAGACTCATACTGGTGAGAAACCCTTTGTATGTAAGGAATGTGGGAGGGCATTTAGATATCATTACCGTCTTATTGAACATCACAGAAGTCATACTGGTGAGAAACCTCTTGAATGCAAGGAATGTGGGAAGGCTTTTAGAGTTCACCTACAGCTTTCTCGACACCAGAAGACACATACTGGTGAGAAATCCTTTATATGTAAGGAATGTGGGAAGGAATTTAAATATCATTACCGACTTATTGAACATCACAGAAGTCACACTGGTGAGAAACCTTTTGTATGTAAGGAATGTGGGAAGGCTTTTAGACTTCACCTACAACTTTCTCGACATCAGAAAACTCATACTGATGAGAAATCCTTTGTTTGTGAGGAATGTGGGAAGGCATTTAGATATCATTACCGACTTACTGAACATCACAGAAGTCACACTGGTGAGAAACCCTTTGAATGTAAAGAATGTGGGAAGGCTTTTAGACTTCACCTACAACTTTCTCGACATCAGAAGACACATACTGGTGAAAAATCCTTTGTATGTAAGGAATGTGGGAAGGCATTTAGATACCATCACCGACTTATTGAACATCATAGAATTCATACTGGTGAAAAACCCTATATATGCAGGGAGTGCGGGAAAGGCTTTAATCGTGCTTCAAACCTTAGTCAGCATCAGAAAATTCATTCTGGTGAGAAGCCCTTTATATGTAAGGAATGTGGGCAGGGCTTTAAGTATCATCACCAATGTGTTGAACATCACAGAATTCACACTGGTGAGAAACCTTATAAATGCAAGGAATGTGGGAAGACTTTTAGACTTCACTTACAACTTTCTCGACATTGGAAAATTCATACTGATCAGAATCCCTTTGAATATAAGGAATGTGAGACTCCTTCAGGCATCAGTACTAACTTACTGAACATCAGGGAATTTATACTAATATGAAACCCTATAAATGCAAAGGGAAATTCTCTTGACAGTGTTCAGATCTTACTCAACATCAGAATATTCATGTTCAAAAGAAGCTCTTTGAATGTAAGGAGTGTAAGAAGACTTTTAGTCTTTCCACAAAGACTAAATCATCATAATAACACCTATACAGGTGAGAAACAATGCGAAGAATGTGGGAAACCCTGTAATCTTGTCAAACCTTGTTCAGCATCAAAGTATTCATGCTGGTGTGAAACCATAGGAGTGAGAATGTGGGAAAGGGTTTAATTGTAGTTCAAACCTCAACATCAGAAAATTGATACTGGTGAAAAACTTTTTGTGAGGAATGTGGGAAAGCTTTTAGATATCATCACAGACTTACTGACTATCACAGAATGCATACTGATGAGAAGCCCTATGTATAAGGAATGTGAGAAAGCCTTTAGACTTAAGTGTTTATTGTCTATCAGAATCCATGAAAGTCTGGAACCCTGTGAATTAAGAATGTGGGAAAACCTTTCAATGGTTTGCTTTGTTGACATCAGAAAATGCATACTATCAGAAGTCCTATGAATATAAAGAGTGTGGAGAAGCCTTTGTATGAAAAATTTCCTCATCAGAGAATTCATATTGACAAGGAATTCTGTGTATAAAAGAACATGGGAAAAACTTTCATCATGGCCTGGGATTTGCTCAGTGTGGGTATTCATATGGGTGAGAAGCCCCTTTAGTACAAAAACAAGGATAGATACATAAGAGAGTCCTTAAATGTGAGGAATATAGCCAGTGTAGCCCTCATGTTTATAACTTAATCCCCATGACAGAAATTATAATAGATATGGTAATTCCATAAATTTAGGAAAACCTTCAAATACTACTCAATCCAGCATACTCAAACTACAGAAAGATTATTGAAAGAAATGTTTAAAAAGCTTTACCTGAGGCACATTAGTTTTTATCATTACCATTCTACTACATGCGTGACATTTAAGCTGGAGGGTTATTTTCTTTTTGAACTGTTTGTAAAATGGTAGTAGTGCAATTGTGGGAATAAATAGGTATATATGAATTTCTGTTTATTATAAATGCATATTGTACAAAACTGGGTTTCATTATGACTTTGATACATGCATATAACATGCTTTTGATTGTATCTACCTCCATATTACACTTTTTTATTGCCCTCTCCCTTGTTCTTCCTTTCCCTAATAGTCCCCCTTGAGTGAAAACATCCTTTGAGTTTGACTTATTTTGCCTAAAATGATGATTTCTAGTTCCATCCATTTTTCTGCAAATAACATTTCATTCTTTATGGTTGAATTTGTGTGTGTGTGTGTGTGTGTGTGTGTGTGTGTGTGTGTGTGTGTTGTGTTTATCCATTTAATCCACTGATGGGCATTTAGGCTGATGGTAGACCTTGATTATAGGGAATGATGCTATGATAAATATGGATATGCGGTATCTCTTTTGGATGTTGACTTTAATTCCTTTGGGTATATACCCAGGAGTTATATAGCTGCATCATAAAATAGTTCTATTTTTACTTCTAAGGAACTTCCATACAGTTTTTTGTTTTATTTTGGTTTTTGAGACAGAGTCTCACTGTATAGTTCAGGGTGGACTTGCCCTATTCCATATCAGTCCTCCCTACTGTGTATATTTTGTTTTCTAGGTGATAGCCATTCTGACTAGAGGAAATGGAATCTCAGTATAGTCTCTTTTTTTTGTCCTGGGGATCAGACTCAGGTCCTTGCACTTGTGCAGCAGGCAGAGAAACCACTGAGCTAAATCCCTGGCCCTCAGTATAGTTTTTATTTTCCTCTCTGTGATGGCTAAAGATGTTGAGCATTTTAGAATATGTGTATTAGCCATTTGTACTACTTTTGAGAAGTGTCCAGCTTATTTGTTGAGGTTCTTTTCGTGTTAATCTTTTTGAGTTCTTTATATATTCTGGATATTCTATCAGAACATTTGCCAAGGATTTTCTCCCATTCTGTAGGCTGTCCCGTTACTCTGTTGATTGTTTCCTTCACTGTGCAGAAGCTGGCTAATATGGTCCATTTGCCAATTCTTTTAAAATTTATTTTTAAAATTAGCAATATTTGTCATACATAATGATCACATTAATCAGGGAATTTGTAACTGTATGTATCTTAATTTTTCTATTCCTATTCCTCTTCCCTTCAATCCTCCTTCCCCTCCTTACTTACAAAAGCTTTGTTTCCATTTTTTCCTTCCATTGTCCTTTTTTCCTTTTCCCTCTCCCCTCCCTATTATTATTATTATTATTATTATTATTATTATTATTATTAGGTATCAGGGATTGAACTCAGGACCTTGCGCTTGTCAGGCAGCCTCAGTGCCACTGAGCTAAATCCCTGGCCTCTCCTCCCCACTTGAACATGTTTTTCTTACCTCCTAATATCTATCTTTCATTATGTTCTTTATTTACCCTTTGGGTTTCTCACACCAGATAAACAGTGTGATGTTTAAACTTGGGTGTCTGATTTAGTTCACTTAAGATTATGGTCTTTAGGTGCATCCATTTACATAAAAATGACTCAAGTTTATCCTTTATGGCAGAGTAGTATTCCATGATAAATACCACATTTTCTTTATTTGTTGATGGGCATATGGGCTGTTTCCAGGATTTAGCTATTATAAATTAAGATGCTATAAACATGAATATGCATATATCACTGTGGTATATCTAGAAGGGGTCAAATGGAACCTCTAGTTTTAGTTTTTTGAAGAATCTCCATCCTGATTTCCATAGTGGTTGAATGAATTTACATTCCCACCAGTAATGGAGAAGGCTGCCTTTTCCCCCACAGCCTTGCCAGCATTTGTTATTGTTTGATTTCTTGATGATAGCCATTCTTTCTGGAGTGAGATAGGATCTCAGTGTTGTTTTAACTTGCATTTCTCAAATGACCAGTGATGTTAAGCATTTTTCATATATGTATTTGCTGTTTGTACTGCATCTGAGAAATGTCTGTTCATTTCCAATGCCCATGACTGGATTGGGTCTGTATGTTAGTCCTTTAAGGAGTAGCTGGTAAAAAATGTTTTCCCATTCTGTGAGTTATCTCTTCATGTTGTTGGTGGTGTCTTTTTCTGTGCAAAAGGTTTTTAATGTGATATGACCCAATTTATTGGTTCTTTGTAATATTTACTGTGTAATTGGGGTTTTGTTCATAAAGTCTTTGACTACACCTATGTCTTCAAGAGTTTTACCTATTCTATCTTCCTGCAAATTAAGTTTTTCTGTTTTAATATTTAGATCCTTGATGCATTTTGATTTTTGTTTAGTGCTTGGTGAGAGATATAGGTCTAGTTTCAATTTTTGTTGTGTGGAAAGTCAGTTTTCTCAGCACCATTTATTAAAGAGGCTGTCTTTCTTCAGTGGAGGTGTTTGGCCCCTCTGTCAAAGACAAGGTAGCTAACTGTGTTGTTTCTGTATCTTCTGTTCCATTGAGTCTTGGGTCTTTATTTCCTCTTTTTTTCTTTTTGCCAGTACCATACTGTTTTTATTACTGTGGCTTTGTAGTATAACTTCAAATCAAGGATTATGATGCCCCTTGCCTTGCCCTTGTTGCCTAGAATTGCTTTTGCTATTCTAGGTGTCTTTTTATTCCATATGAATTTTAGGATTGTTTTCTTTAGTCCTGTGAGGTATGCTATTGGTATTTTGATTGGGAATGCATTAAATCTGTATAACAGTTTGGGAAGTATGGCCATTTTCATTATATCAGTTCTGTCTGTCCAAGAACAGGCAGTATCTTTCCATTTTCTGATATTCTCTTTGATCTCTTTTCCCAGAGTACTGTAGTTTTAAATCAGATTTCCCCATAAGGTCAACATTGATCCTAGCCATTGAATTTGATTCAGATCTCATCCAATTCGTGACCAGAACTGTAGAAAGAATTAAGTTTGTGAACCAGAGTACCCCTGTGTAGGTCTTTGACTTCCTTTGTTAAATTGATTCCTATGTATTTCATTTTTCTTGATGATATTGTGAAAGGTGTTATATTCCCAATTTCTCCTAGTGAGTTTGTTATTTGGTTACAGGAATGCTATCGATTTTTGAGTGTTGACTTTGTATCCTGCTACATTACTGAATTTGGTTATTCTAAGAGTCTTTTGGTGGAGTTTTGGGGGGTCTTCTATGTAGAGTATCATATCATCAGCAAATAATGATAATTTAATTTCTTCCTTTCCTATCTTTATTCCTTTCATTTCATTTTCTTGTCTAATTGCTCTGGCTAATGGTTCTAGAACTGTATTGAACAGGAATGGTGATACTGGGCATCCTTGTCTTGTTTCTGATTTTAGAGTGAAAGCTTTCAGTTTTTGATCATTTAGTATGATGCTGGCTGTTGGTTTGTCATATATGGCTTTTATTAGATTGAGAAAGATCTATTCCAATTTTCTTTAGGTTGTTTTTTTTTATTATCATGAATGGACTTTGTCAAATTGGACTTTGTCAAATGCTTTTTCTGCATCTGTTGAGATGATCGTGTGGTTTTTGTCCTTGGCTCTGTTAATGTGGTGTATTACATTTATTGATTTGTGTATGTTGAATCATCCTTGTATCCCTGGGATGAATCCTACCTGGTCATGGTGCATAATCTTTTTGATATTTTGCTGCATTCTGTTTGCCAGTATCTTATTGAAGATTCTTACATCTATGTTCATTAAGGCGATTGGCCTGTGTTTCTCTTTTTTGGTTAGATCTTTCTCTGGTTTTGCTATCATAGTAATGCTTGCTTCCAGGAATGACTTTGGGAGTTTGCTTCCCTTTCAATTTCATTAAATAGTTTGATGAGTAGTGGCATTAGTTCTTCATTGGTAGTTTTTTTAAAAATCAGTTTCATTGACTGATATTGGATTGTTTAGAATTTTTTATCTTCGTGATTCAGCTTTGTTAATATGTATCTAGGAATCTGTCCATTTCCTCTGAGTTTTCTATCTTATTAGGATACATGTTCTCGAACTAGGTATTGATCTTCTGGATTTCTGCAGGATCCATTGTGATTTTGTCCTTTTCCTTTGTAATTGTGTGGATTTGGGTCTTTTTATCCTTTTTATGGTAAGATTGGCTAAGGGTTTATTTTATTTAATCTTTCAAAGAACCAACTCTTCAATTCATTGAGTCTTTGTAGTGTTTCTTAGTCTTAATTGCATTAATTTCTGCTCTGATCTTTACAATTTCTTTCCTTGTACGTGCTTTGGATTTAACTTGCTATTCTTTTTCTAGAAGCTTAAAGTCCAACATTAGGTTATTTATTTGAGCTTGCTCTGTTTTTCTGATGTGGAATTCACCGTTACAAATTTCCCTCATAGGACTGCTTTCATTGCATCCCATAAGTTCTGGTATGTTGTACTGGCATTATTGCTTAATTGTAGAAACTGTCTAATTCCTTCTTTAATTTCATCTGTGACCCATTGGTTGTTCAGGAGGGTGTTATTTACTTTCCATATGTCCATGTAGTTTTTGTGGTTTCTTTTGCCATTGATTTCAAACTTCATTGCACTATGATCTGATAATATGTGTGGGATAATTTTGATTACCCTGCATTTAAGCATGTTCTCTGTGAGCTAGTATGTGATCTGTCTTGGAGAAAGTCCCATGAGTCTTCTTTTGCTGAGAAGAATGTGTATTCTACTGTTGTTGGATGGAACACTGTAGATATCTACTAAGTCCATTAGTTCAGGTTTGGTTTAGCTTTGATGTTTCTGTTGATTTTCTGTCTAGTTCATGTGTTTTTGACAGTGGAGTACTGATGTCCCCCCATTACAACTGTATTAGTGCTTATCTGATTTTTCATATCCATTAGTGTTTGTCTTATATAGTTGGTTGTACTGGTATTTGGTGCATATATATTTATGATTGTTATTTGTTTCTCTTGGATTGTTCCCTTAACAAGTGTAGTATATAGTGATCTTCTTTTCCTTTTGATCAGTCTTGGCTTGGAATCCATTTCGTGTACAAATAGAATAGCTACCCTTCCTTTTTTCCAAGTTCTTGTCCCATGGAGTATTATTTTCCATTCTTTGACTTTCAGTCTATTATTTATTTTTTTGGTACTGGGGATTGAACTTGAGACCTTGAACTTGCGAGGGAGGTGGTGGAACCACTGAGCTAAATTCCTGGCCCTATTATTTTATTTTTTAGTTAAATATGTTTCTTGTATGCAGCATATTGTTGGACCTTGTTTCTTGAATCCTTCTGGCAGTCTGTTTCTTTTGATTGGTGAATTGAGACCATTCACATTGATGATTATAACTGATATGTTTTGCCTTATCCTTGCCATATTATTTTTCTGTTGTTCACTTTCTTTTTCTTTTATTTAATTGCTTCCCTTTCCTAATGGATTCATTCTATTGGGATTCTTGGAATTGTCTTTGTTGTCTTTTTCTAGAATATCCTTCAGAATTTTTTTGGAGTGCTGGTTTGCTGGTCATGAATTTCTTCAGGTGTTCTTTATCATGGAAGTATCTTATTTCTCCCATCAATTTTGAAAGATAATTTTGTGGGGATACGTCAGTCTGGATTTGAGGTTGTTTTCATTTGGGGCTTGAAATATTTCACTACATGCTCTCTGACTTAAGGGTTTATGTTGAGAAGTCTGTTGTGATTCTGATGGGTTTTCTTTTATAGATGATTTGTTTCTTTTCTCTAACAGCTTTTAGTATTCTGTTCTTATGTAGAATTTCTGGAATCTTGACAATTATATGCCTTGATGTAATTTTTTTCTGATCATGACTATTTGGAGTCCTATATACTTCACTTATCTGTATCTAAAATTCTTTTTCTATGCTTGGAAAGTTTTCTGCTATTACTTATTTAAACAGGTTTTTATGCCCTTTGTGTTATTTTCTGATTCTTAATTGATTGCAATTAATCTTGTATTAGTTTTCTTTGTATCATCTAGCAGCTGTTGATTTTTTTGTAGTCCATTGCTATTTTAAAGAGGTCTTTCATTTGATGATCACTGATCACAACCTTCTTTTCTAGATCTGATATTCTATCTTCCCATTGGTTGACTCTGTTGTGTATACTTTCAGTAGAAGTTTTAATCTCCTGGATTTCTGTTTGAGTTGGTTTTATGGAATCCAGTTCTTTCCTATGTTCGACA